CTTTTCATCCCTCTTTTGCTTTTATCAACATTTTTCTTCTTTTGGTTATTCTTTCCCTTCTCTCTCTCTTTTTTTTTGGTTATGATCGAATCCTATGTAGATTTTCTACGTATCATGATCCCGCATGAATCAGACCAAGCATAGTTCTGGGAGCGTTAAAATGTAAAAATAAATAATAGAATATTTTGGAATTTTTAATTTTTCATAAAAAGGAAATATTTTGGATTAAATGATTTAAAGCTAAAAGACTCAAAAAGGAGAACAACATACTCCAAAAACACGATGACAATACAGACTCACGAACTAACTTAACAGACTTTGACAAAATAAAAATACCGAATCGAAAATAAACTAATAGACTTCAACAAAAAAGAAAGATACAAACTCCAGTAAAATCAAGAATACATTTATGCTCTTGGTGCCCGCGGGACATCATTTGGTCTCGACGTGGGCCAAAATGCGAGATCCCCTTGCAGTCGCTCCAAATCATGCATAACTTGGCGGACAAAAGTCGTCACTGCAGCGAAAAAGGTGGTACGAGTCATGTCTTCGCACGTTTGGCATCTCATGGTAATGTATTCAGCGATGGTTCTGATCCTTTCTCTAATTCTGCCTTTTTCCTGAAGCAACCGCCCTATCTGCTGATTCCGGGTTTTCAACACTTGAGAGTCATGAAGGTGTTAATCTTGCAATTGTTGCATTCCTTCCTCCATTTGAGCCATCAAATCATAACAATATTCTCTATCGGCTTTGAAATCTTTAGCCTACTTGGCTGCCTCGTTCTCGAGAGTGGTTACCTTTCTTCTTAGGCTAGTGATAGTCCCTTCATAGTTCCTCTTCATTTGTTGCACAAATTGTGCCCCCTCTTATGCCTTCTTTGTCCATTGTGCTCGGATTCTTTCTAGACTAGCTTCAGACTTTTCCATGTCTTCTTGACAATATAGGGCTTTCTTTTTAAGACCGCTTATAAGTCTTTCGTCAGCCCGACTTCTTTCCGGGTTTCTGGCAGCTATTTTCATCTTCTGGATTTGAGCTTTGAGGGACTCGTTTTCCTGAGTTAGTTTTTTCTTTTCTCCCTTGTCTACAGCGGCTTGAACACCATTTTCAAACTGAAGCTCCATGACTCGCCTTTCCAACTGGCTTATTTTGGCCCTGTACTCGTTTTATTTGGTCAACCAGTCCCACTGCACCTGGACCCCATCGGTGAACTATTGGACATGGGGTCTCTTTGCGGGCCTTTCAGGAATCTGGAGTCTTTTGTCGAACCAGACAATATACTTAGGGTCCACTTCACCTCTGGCTAGATCTCGCACCATGTTATTAGGTTCAAGAAATCTACATTCATTCCACACTTGGCAAATTTTCCCTTCTGGAAATGTGGCTTTCGGGCCCAATTCAATGACATGTTTACTCAAATCTTCATCATTGGGGACGGTTTGAAATCTTCCTAATTGGCGCAAAATCCTGTGTGGAACATAAGGCTGGACGCTCCGGATGACCATCAAGAGGAGACAACACACTTCAGCTGACATGTACACTACTTCGGTGGCAGGACGCCATCCGAATGCCCACTCAATTTTATCTTCAATCAAGGATCTCAAATGTGCAAGCCAAGCTTCAGTACCCTCGGGGAATTCAATAACTACCACTCAGCTTTCAAACTCTTCAATGCAACTCAAACCGGTCAAACCGTAATTCATATACCCAACCCGGTGGCAGAGATGTTCTTGCACCCATAACTGTAGTAGCAGATTGCAGCCTTGGAAGAACTTTCTCCCTTCCCGACAGATAGTCAAGGCTCGGTAAATTTCAGATAAGATCAGAGGAACCACAGTGCTGTTGGTTTTCTTGATCGCCACATCGATCATTCCCACAAGACCTATCTCTATATTACCATCTTTTTGCGGACAAACTACAACACCCAAGAAGGTTACCATAAAAGCTAAACCCCGCCTTGCCTCCTATTTGTCTTTATTTCCGGCGTGGGTTAGACCCGTGTTCGGCTCTTTAAAACCTCGGGGGTTACCATATCGATGATACAAGAACTGGAGCATGCAATACCCTTCCGATAAGTTTTTGTCCTGAATATCCCGACTAATACTCAGCAAATCTAGAAATCTGTGGGGAGATACCGGTCTTAGTGACAATGGATATTGACTTCTAAGGTTTCCATTAAAGCCCACATAACTTGCAACCTCCTCCAATGTAGGTGTGAGTTCAAAGTCAGAGAAACGGAACACATTGCGAGTCGGGTCCCAAAAAGGTATTAAAGCTTCAATTATGTCCGACCTTGGCATGACGTTCAATAGTCCGACAAGGCCTCCCAGAACTCTTACCACTGTTTCTCTACTTCTTTTTCCTAGATTATTCCACCACATGTGGAGCTTTAAGGGGATCTCATCAAGGACTGTGAAGGGTTCAATTTCGGTTGTGCTCATCCTGCACATTTATTAAGGTGATTTAATAACTTATTTTGACCCGAAAGAGTAACACCATTTTTTAAAGTTTTGCTCCAAAAATAAAACCCAGTTTTGCAGATACGGCCTTTCAGCACTTCGGGGAAGAAGATTTTAAGGCTGTGCCTGTTAACCGTTAAAAATGAAGCAAGGTGGCTATTCTTGCAAAAACAGCCTTCTGACGCCCTTTCGAGGACATTCGGCTTATTTTAAACAAGAATGGAATCACCCGACTTATTTATGACCAAAAAAATTAAAATTTTGTTGTTTTTGGGCTATTTTTGCAAAAAGGAAAGTTGGACCCGATGAGGGTTGCCTACGTATCCCACATCCGGTGAGAATCAAACTGGCGTAGTTCGGGGAGATTGGACGAAAATAAACCAACTAATTCTAAAGACAAAACTTTCTTTTTCTTTTCTCTTTTCTTTTTTTTTTCTTCAAAAATTTTGGCAAAGTTTCGGTATATTTTGGACACTGATTTTTCAAAACAAGTAATTATCTCTCCGAGCCCTCACATTGAGTTTCTTTTTCCTAACTTTTCTCCTATTATTCATAAGCCGGTCAACATGCAAATTCGAAGCAAATAAATGCACAAGTAGCAAGTAAGATGCATCAGGATGGTCTTTTCATTTCGGGTACACCTGTCCTAGACAGACCCAACCCCTGTGTTGAGTCTCCAAGGTCAAATACACGTGATGCAAACATGCGTTCCTACAAGGGATCCGGCATGAGGCTTTGTTATACTAGGTTTAAAACCTGGGTTTATTGTTCTAGACCTGGCTTACCCAAACGGACAACTCGAGCCGACGGGGGGCAGCATACCGGGAATACAGAAGCTTCACTGGCTTAGCAACTTGTCTGAACCTCGTTCTAAAATGGGATAAGACTCTAGACAGAAGAGAAGCCACACGAAGTGCACCCTTCTTCACGATTTAGAAGACTCATAGAGAGGAAGGGTTTCGTAGCAGTTTATATACAGTTCACAGAATATCAAAACGGTAAAAACATTTAGCACATTAGGCTCAAACATGTAGGAAAATCATATAACAGATAAAGCCAATCATAACAGCTATCCTAAGCTCGAATTATTGAACCCTGAACCAGATATTCTAGGTTCTATCCCCAGCAGAGTCGCCAGAGCTGTCACACCTCCTTTTTACACACCCGAAAGTATATATAGGGAGTTTTTCCAATTTAAGTGACATTATTCGAAATGAGATTATTTATTTATCAGAGTCGCCACATGGAATATTTTAATTGGTGTCCCAAGTCACCAGTTTATTTCTAATTCCAAATCGAGGAAAACTCGACTTTCCTTTTGAAGTCTGCGAACCAGAAATTCTGAGTAAGGAATTTTGTTAACCCGAAGGAAGGTGTTAGGCACCCCCGGATTCCGTGGTTCTAGCACGGTCGCTTAAACTATTATAATTGGCCTATTATCTGATTTTAACACATTTTTAACCTATGGTACATTTTAACTTTATTAACCGCTTTTAATTAGTTTTAAGAAGATTTCAACGTCACCTAAAATGCGTCTTTGGACCACGCCACATGAAATGCACCCACAGTCCAAGACACATTTTATTTAATGTTGTTGAGATTTAGATTTGGTTCACATGAAATGCACACTCGAGTTTAAGGAAATTAAATTAAATTACACGCCTAAAGCAACTACGCACTTTCCAGTTTGCGAGGGCCATGAAATATTCAACTGAATGGCACACTTCGATTTCTAAAGGGTTGAAAATAATTAAGTGAGGGCCATGGGTTTAGAGATTTTATTTGGCATGGCGCACCTCGATTCTAATTTTAAAGGAGATTCGAACTAAGCTTTTGAGGGCCACAAATTATATCTTACTTAATATAGCTCGCTTCAAATATAATTGTTTCAATGATTTCTTATTTTAAATCACGAGGGCCATAAGCTATTGATGTTATCTAATATGGCACATCTCAATTTAAGAAGAGCTTAATTAATTAAGGCTAAAAGGGGCTTTCAGCCACAAGAATTTGGGCTTAATGTAAAGCCAGTTTACACTGATCCAAGTGAAAGGAACTGGTCCCGAATAATTTAGCTTCACGTTGAATATGCAAATAAAATGGAAATATAGATGTCATCAAGTGGGATTTCTGAAGTTAGGCCCGAACACATAGCCATGAGAAATTCGAGCAATAGGGGGTTCGAAGTCGGTCAAAAAGACCTGGGCCATCGGCAGGCCCAATTTTCTTTCAAAGATCCAAGTTTAAAAGTCCCTAATCACATACTGCAGATACAAGAATCTTTGAACTAGAGTGCGTGATTTTTTGTAATGAAATGCACAATACAATGACTTTAAGTAATCAACAATACATCAACTACTAAAAAAAATTTGGAAACCCATTACTTTGACAACATGGAACGAACAGCCTCATTTTTGACAAATTGAATCAGTAAAGTTTCAAGGACCAAATGCTCGTATTCCCTTTTTTTTAATTAGGAGACTAAATGTTGTTCACAGATGTATAAAAGGGAATTTTCAATGGACATTTCCATGTCGATTCAGGTTCTCTGAATCCTCCAGTACTGTATACATTACGGTCATGCCAACGAGAAATAAACCTAGCTATAGTTCTTATATTTTCATCATAACTCACGCTAATGCTTCATATAAAATCCAACACAGCCCAGATATATACAAGAGGAAGAACAACCCAGTCGTTAGGTACACATGAAAAATCAATTGCTGACTTTCAACTGCAAACTGAACCAAGATAGGTTTCATTTTACATAATGACATAAAAAAACTTTAAATAGATGAAGAAGGAAACTAATAGAAAGAAAACATGATGGTGTTCTAAATGAACTAAAAACGACACAGATTTATATTTCAATCATCCAAACCAACAACATCTCAGCTTTGCATTTCATGGTCGAGTGTAATACCTGGTTATGACAGCAAAAATAGAGAAAGTGAGCTTGAAGTTTAAGAGGAAGCAGCAGCAATATTCAGCAATGGAACAATGACTAAACAGCTAATCAAACCAACTTCAAACTAAATTGAATCCTTTTAAAACCCAGATACACAATCTTGAAACTCTTTTTTTTTTAAATTCTCAACTGACAGAAGAAATCAAGGCATCAAACAAAAAAATCAAACCAATTTCAGGCTCTCAGTATTTTGGAGCTTTAGGGAGAACCAGCCGCTTTTCATAAGTTTTTTTTAGTCTTTCAATTTTCCCTAAATCTGCCTTGATAGTGAAGAAACAATTCCCTTTATAGGGAGATTTAGGGCAACAGAAATGAGTCAAGTTATTTGCCCTTTACCCCTTTTCAAATTTTCACTTTTGCTATTGAATCCTTAGATTAAAATCAGTTTTTCAAAACAGGTCCTAATCCCACCTTCTAGGCAGCTTCCTAAATCAGTTACTAAAGATTTCCTTACCTAAATTTTCCAAATTACCCTTAACAAACCTGTTATTTACCCTCCGAATTGTTAACTTAAGTTAATCTAACCCAAAGTTCAACTATACCAGCCCTTTTTAACTAGTCAGTGATGACCATAATTACTTATGAGGGGTTTGAATACTCAAAAATGACCAAATGATACCGAAGAACATAAGAAATCCCAAAACTGGAAGGCAAATCCAAACAACTCAAATTTTAGGCTTGAATTAACTTTAATTACTTAAGCTCATAATTGAACTCTACTACTAATGGATCATCGATCAAACAGATAAAACGAAACAAATAAAATTAATTAAATAAAACAGAATATGCTATATTGTAGAAATCAGTGTGAGCATAGAGGGAAAATCAGAAATTTGAAACCCCGAAACCTAAGAAAATGGGCAAACCAAACGATCAAGGCACATCTTATTAGTAATTACGGAGAAAGAAAAACTAAACATGAAGGAAACAAGTATGAAGAAACAAATTAAATTAAAAGGGAAAAAGTTGGGTTCAACTGGAACCTCAACTAATTTCAGTCAGAAGAAAAATTCAAATACGAGGTGAAATAAACAAAACAAACAAAAACTAAGAAAACTTACCAATTTTAAGCTCGAACACAACTGACCCTCCGATTTGAGTCTCGAAACGAGGTTAATCATTTGTTCTTTGCCAAGAACAAATGAACAACACTATTTCGCAACTAAACCAACCCTAAAACTCATGAGAAAACGGACTCTTGATCTTGCATGCACTGGTCAGGATTTGGCTCCTAAGGCTCAATTCTCAGATGTAAGATTCGAGAAATTCCAGAGATGTTCGAAGGAATCTGAGTGAAAATTTGGAATGAGGGAGCGAAAACGGTCCTAGGGTGCTAATTTGGTGGTGGTTGGTGGTGGCGCTGCCACCCTCAGGTGGTGAGATTTCAGGGCGGCTGCTAGGGTTTTGGTTCCGGTTGGAGAGGGTGAGATGAGAGATGGGGGTAGGGGTATGGGCGTTTGGACATATATATATATAANGGTTATCAGAACGACGTCGTTTTGGTTACTAGGGGGTTTGGACCGGGTTGGGACGCGGATCTGGGCCGGTTTTGAGTGGGTTTGGGAAAAAAAACACTTGGGCCTGGGGAGATTGAATTAAAACAACCCAAATATCAGATTTTGTTCTCCTTTCTAATTTCTTTTTATTTTCAAATCCTTTTCTTTTCAAATTTAAAATAAAACCCAAATTAATTTTTTAAACTAAATTAACCTACCCAATTAGATTAATCACTCATCAAAGTATTTACAATAATTAATTAGATCCTAAATTTAAAGAAAAACTATAAAATTCAAAATTAAAGAGTTAAAATGCAAAATGAACTATTTTTTGTAATTTTCATATCTTATAAAACAAACTAATTTACTAATTAATCTAAAAAATGTAAAATTAAATCCTAAATGCAGTGCGTGATATTTTTTGCTATTTTTCATGATTTAAATAAAATTAATTATGCACACAAAATATAAACAAACACGAAAATTGAGCAATTAATTCCTAAAAACCAAATAATAAAAGAAAAATCCTAATTTTGGAGATTCTGTAGGAGTAATTCATGCTAGGGAAAAATCACGTGCTCACAATCCTCACAGGATTGAGGCTTCAAGTATGTTTCTTGATTCGTTCGCAGACGTACGTTTGTTTAAGTTGGGGAGGATATGACGACCCGGCTAGTCGTCTCATGAGCTACTGCTCTGTTTCCTCCATTTCTACTACTTTATGCTTTGTTATCCATGTTTTGTGGTGTCGGGTTGGTCGGATCTAATCCGGAATGATTTTAGTAAGGTTTGAGACACTTAGTCTCTTTTGAGGAAGCTTGAGTTGGAAAAGTCAACCGGACGTTGACTTATGTGTTAGAGGGCTCGGATGTGAGTTCCGAGGGTTCGGTTAGCGTTGGGAGGTGATTTGTGACTTAGGAGCATGATCGGAATGGATTTTGGAGGGTCGTAGTAGATTTAGGCTTGAATTTGCGAAGTTGATATTTTGGCAATTTCTGGTTGGTAGGCGAGATTTTTATGTAGGGGTCGGAATGGAATTCCGAGAGTTTAAATAGCTCAATTGTGTCATTTGGGACGTTTGTGCAAAATTTCAGGTCATTCAAACGTGGTTTGGTTGGATTTTTGATCAAAAGCGGAATTCGGAAGATGTTAGAAAGTTTGGCTTGAATCCGACGTGTTTTGGTTGAATTGATATTATTTGAGGTGTTTTGAAGATTGGTACAAGTTTGAATAAGGTATTAGGATATGTTTATGCTTTTGGTTAAGGTCTCGGGGGCCTCAGGGTGATTGCGGATGGTTGATGGGGAGTTTGAAACTTTGTAATAGCTGTTGAATTTGCCGCTTCTGCTATTTCTACACCTGCGGATTGGGGACCGCAGGTGCGATGCCACAGGTGCGATAAGGGAGGTCGCATAATCGAAAATGCCTAGGAAGGCAGGGACCGCAGATGTGGTTGTTGGACTGCACCTGCGAAGACACAAGTGCAGAAGGTTGATCGCGGAAGCGGTTTTAGCCGTTAAGTGAGGAACCGCTAAAGAGGTTAGTTGGCCGCATATGCGGTATCGCAGAAGCGGTAATTGGGCCGCAGATGCGAAAATGTCTGGGCAGAAGTATAAATTGTGGCATTCGCAAATTTTGAGCTATTTCACCATTTTTATCTCGGCTTTGGAGCTTTTTTTATGATTTGAAAGAGGTATTTCAAGGGAACTTCATTGAGGTAAAGAATTTGGACCTAAAACTCATTCCTACGCAACTATTTCATGGATTAGAGATAGAAATTATAGAAATTAAGGGTGAAAATTGGGGAAACTAGGGCTTGGAAACTTAGACCTAGACTTGAGGATTTGAAGGACCATTTGAGGTCGGTTTCAGAACTTTTGATATGTATGAACTCGTGGGGAGATAAGGAATCTATTGATGTAAAAATTATTGAATTCCAAGACATGGGCCCGGGGGTCGAGTTTTGGTAATTTCAGGATTTGTGTCGTATTTTGATTATTTTCGCTTGGGCTTCATTCCCTTAGCATATTTGGATGTCCTCGTTCTGATTTTAGATAGATTCAATGCGAGTGGAGGCCGATTCGAGGGGCAAAGGCATCGCGAGTTAGAGATTTAACCTGTTCGAGGTGAGTAATGATTGTAAATGATGTTCTGAGGGTATGAAACCCTGGACTTGCACATCGTTGTGCTATATTGAAGTGACGCACATGCTTGATGACGAGCGTAGGGTCGTGCATTGTTGGGGATTATGACTTGGTTCGTCCTGAATGGCTATTTTACCGCGTATTTGACTGAAATCTATTTGTTATCATCATGATTTGGGCTGAATGCCATATTTGGGTCTTGTGCCAACTATATGAACCCTTCGGGGATTTTTACTGGTATTTCCTCACTGTTTTGAATTTATACTTGAACTCAGTCATGTTATATTTCACTATTTTCGTACTCAGCCATGTTTACTCTGCTTTTAACACTTATATGATCTTCTAAATGATATTTTTGGGCTGAGAAATCTTATTTTACTTTTTCCCGAGTGGCTTGTGAGGATTTTGACTGAGTAAAGCCGAGGGCCTATGTTGTAAGGAAACACTCGATACTGATTATGAGGTCGAAGGCCTGAGATATGTACGCCACGAGGTGGCTTGATTGATATGAGGCCGAGGGCCTAGTGATGATGCCACGAGGTGGCTTGATATTGTGTTTGGGCCGTAAGGGGCCCCTCTAGGAAACTGTACACCCCCAATGAGCGCGGGTACCCATTGTGATGTGAGATTGAGCCCGAGGGGCTGGCATTGTTATGAGATGTTGCCCAAGGGGCAGAATTGTAGATATTGTGCCCGAGGAGCGAACCTTTATGTGTTTATTTTCTTAAATAATTATGCATTACCTGCTTAATTGTCAAAAAGGGCTTTTCATGAAATTACATTTGATATAACAGATTTTTGCCTATCTTTCACCGATTTACTGATTTTTAAATGATTTTACTGCTTCATTATAGAATTCTTTGTGTTTTATGTGTTTTCTTGCTTTCAGTCTTTATTTACATTTGTTACTCACTGAGTTGGAGTACTCACTTTACTCCCTGCACCCCGTGTGCAGATTCAAGCATTGCGGATCCTGCAAGTGCGAGTTGAGAGCTCCCGACAGATATCGGAGTCCACGAGGTAGCTATTTGACATTCGCAGTCCCGTGTTTCTCCCTCTTTATCATTTCTATATCGTATCAGACATTTTTTATAGGTTGTAGACTTTTCCGACTTGTATTAGGTTTTATAGATGGTCATGATTAGTGACACCCCAGTTTCGAGCTGTGTTGGGTTATTTTCCGTGAACTTTGCTATTATCTGTTAACTTTGGATTATCTTATCATGCTTTAGATTTATTTCTTATAGTTTAACTGTTAATAATTGGATATAAGAAGTGTTGGCTGGCCTTGTCTTCACGAGAGGCACCATCACGACCGGGTCCGGGTTTAGGGTCATGACAGTTATGCTGACAGGAAGGTTCGGGATGTGTCCTACATGGTTGGTGAGAAGGTTCTATTAAACGTTTCACCCATGAAGGGTGTTATGAGATTTGGGAAGAAGGGTAAATTGAGTCCTCGGTTCATTAGGCCTTTTGAGGTGCTTCGGAGGATTGGGTAGGTGGTTTATGAGCTTGCTTTGCCACCCAGCTTGTCGACTGTGCATCCGGTATTTCATGTTTCTATGCTCTAGAAGTACATTGGAGATCCATCTCATGTTTTGGATTTTAGCACGGTTCAGTTAGATGATGATTTGACT